AGAGAGAGAGAGAGAGAGAGAGAGAGTTTGATTATGAAATCAAGCTATAGCCAGAATTTTTATTAGACATAATATTAGCAAAGCAGTTACCAAGGTTAATATTTTTTTCAGGAATTGAAAAAATTCAATATGAAAAGGAGGGACACCAGAAGCAATATTAGAGAAATAAAAATGGTATTATATTCTCCATTTGTACAGCTCTTTGGGCAATTCAAACTGAGAATCTGTGTTTGGCAATCCTCTCTCTGAAATTCCCCAACCCAGGGAGGAAAAACTGTTCATATGCTTTGCACTGTTATCTATATCATAATTCTTAGATATAGATAACATTTATATACTTACCTCACTTCTATATACAGGCTTTCTTTAAGGGACTTCAGAATGAAGGGAAAATTAGACTGCATTAAATAGCATGCAGGGTATTTTTAGAATTCTTTTTAAATTGTGACATCATAAATTTAAAAAATTCTCTAAAAAAAAATGTTCTATTCTCTAAACATACCAGGTAACAACAATTAGGGATATTTTTAAAAAATCCTTCACTGTACTAGCCAGATCATGTTATTTATTACTCAAATCCAATTCAGTGACTAGTATTTTTAAATGACCTGCTTGGCCTGTCAATGTATCATATAAATGAGGCTGCAAACATGTAACTAGGCATACAGAACTTTCAATTACAGATTCTGAACATATTCCAATTTTATTCTTTCAAGTGACCTGAATCAGAGCTGTAAAAAAATAAGTAAATAAAAAAACATTGAGACTCACAGCATAGAAAATATATCAATAGCTACCTTTGAGATGTTTTGCTTCCCTTTGGGCAGCAAATAAAACTGGCTCACCAAAGCTGTATTGTTTTTAAAAATTCCTACATCACACCACTGTCGTTCTCCTGCTTTCACTGTAGTCACTGGATTTGAAGGAGTCTCTTTCTAATTTTAGAGAAAGAAAAAGTTATGAACACTCTTATTGAGCATATAAGAAACTTCAAGATTTACTAAATCCATGCAGTGATCTACAAGTAGGTATATGGTAAATTCCACAACATTAATAACTCATAAGTAAATAAACTCTTGACAGATTAGGTCAACTGATGGTGACACAGGGATGCCAGTTCAAACACAGGGAGTGACAGGCATTCTCCACGTCAGGGGCTCTGAACAATCAACCGAGTTGGAGTTAGCATGCTTTCCAATCAGTGGTATGTTAAAATGCCAGCTGTTTTATAGAATACTGTCATTTTAGAGACTCTCTCAGAAAATGTAATCCCTTTGGTTTGAAATTACAACTTACTCCAAAGGAGCAAATAAGATAAATTCATTCCAAGCTGGCTTATTTCTAGATTCAAAAACAACTAGCAGAAATTCAGTGATCTTTGTACTTGAAAATACCTGTGATTCTCCAAACCTAAAAGGAGAAAAAATGTTCAAAACTAAAAAGCAATTTGCATGTCGCTTAGTATATCTAAAGAGGAGCAAATTAAACAGTTTTACATTGTTTACCTTGCTTTCAAACAAATAAACTTCCTCTACCTTAAGCTACTTTTAGTGATAAGTGAATTATACTTATCCCTGGAACTAACCTTTTAAGCCATCTTCTTTATAAATGAGACACTGTTTCCAGAAGCTCAAAACAAATGTGCACTTCAGTTATTTATTTCTGTCTTAAATATATAACAGCAGAGGTACATGCTTATAATTCACATCACTTGTTATTTAGGCTATCACACATGACAAAGTGAACTAATAAGAAGAGCTATTTAAAGGAATAGCTTTAAACTTGTTTTCATCTTTAAAGTTGTAAAAATGCTCTTCAACAATTTTTATAAAACAACTGGCTCCAACTGAAATAACAATACCATTCTGGTTGATGAAAAATAGATTTAAGAGAAACAAACAGTTCATTTTATTAATTCTTCCCTGACAAGGGGCTAGGAATACTGGAACATAACATTCTAGACAGACTTAAGCTAATGACGGTAAATAATTAAAATCATGACTGAAAGAAAACTAAAACTATAGATAATTCCTAAAGAGTCTGAAAGGAAAATATTAGTTTGCATAAAAACTCTTACTTTGTAGCAATGAAGCTGAAATCACTTATAACTTAAAAACAAATTTAAAAGTATGCACACACATATGTATTATCCTTATATATAGCTAATTAAGATGAACTTGGTAGATCTGTGAGACACATTCCTAGTATTTTTAAGTCTGGTGTCATGCAAGGCAGTTCTGCTTTTCCATAAAACAGCCCAGTATCAGAGAGGATGGGGCTACTCTAAAGGCACATTTACCCCAATATTTGCAATATTCTGTTGTGCTCCTATTAAGGAATATGAAAGTACTTAGGATTATGAAAGTAACACATTTCATTATAGAAAAATAGTGAAAGCATAGAGAAGATAAAAATTATAAAGAAGAAAGTCAACATTATCTGTGGCCCCATAACCTGAAAGAGTTGCCCCTCTCCCCACACAGTGCTGGGCTGTGCTTGGACTTAATGGGGGGCGGGGTGGAGGGGGGCAACGAAGGTGAGTGCCTATCTTGTGTGTTTTAACACAAAGGGGTGACAGTATACACATCATTTTTATATAGCTTTTTTCACTTAACATTACACTGAAAATGTTCCTATTCAACCCTCCTTTTCTAAATCTATGTCAAGTCTTTACTAGTAAAGATGATTTTTACAAGGATCTTTTCAAGAATTTATGTTGAAAGTGCTCAGCATTTAAAGCACTTAACCATTTATAAGCTCACATCATCTTCATGTTACTTTATATACTCACAGAAAAAGGCATTGCCGTAGCGTGTGCTTCTACACGGCTGATCTTAGTTGCAGGCAGTGCACACGTTTCATCAACTAAAAATTAAACAATTCATCATATAAGACTTACAGAAGCTCTTATTACAAAGACACATTAAAATATGACTTATACAAGAATAGTCAGATGGAGAAGATAGTAGTTAGAGACATGGACCTACTAACTCAAACTAGTTCATAAAGTTCCTTTTTCAAAGTTTTGATGACTAATAAAAATTTCAGAGGAAGTCTACCAAGTCTACCAAGGTGAAACACAATTCCTAATGCAAAAGAAAGAGTGAGAATGTATAAAATCAGATTTCAGTCAAGCTGGGAGAACTGTTGCTCCATAGTCTAGAACAATCTTTTGCTGGGGAAATACATCACTAATGATTGCACTGAAATACTTTGTCTGGGGCCCTACCTGGTGGCACAACAGAGTAAAACACAGCACTATGAAGCTACCACAGCTGCTGCAGCTCAAGTTCGATCCCCAACCAGGGGGGTGACCCACATGGTGTGGCAGACCTCTCCTGACCCACCTGCTGCTACCCTCTGCAGTATATTTCAATACATCAACCTGTTCTGCTCCCTACTCTGTCTCTGGTAAATCCTCTCACCCCCACCCCTACACCTCTGGCCTGTACCCCAGTTCTGTATGCATAAATAATCTTTTTTTTTTTTAAAGAAATACTTCGTCTGTTCATCTATGAGTCAATCCAAGATGAAATACAATTCCCATCAAAAACAAGTAAGTTGGATGAACTTATATACATAAATTGTTCAAAATACAGTATGTGAAACACATTTCAAACCTTCAGATTTGGTACTGAATGTTGTTAGTGAAGTTTCATCTTTAACCACTGCCCCATTTGTACTGGATGATTCAGTTTTAATGGTCTGCTGGGTTACCATAGTTTGTGCGCTGGAAACAGTACTGGATACAGAAGTTTCAGGGATTACTGTTCTTAAGTCCAGGCAACTACTTAGAACACCTATATTTGAGGAAGTGTGAGGACCTAAAATTGAAGGGAAAAAATCAATTATTAACATAATACCTGCACGTTATTATTGTATCTGATAGTTTTGTCATGTAATATTGGGTGTTCTCAGTTTTAAAATCATAAACATGAGTTCTACAAATGTTATTTATATGAATTAAGCCATCTGGCATAAAATGTTGAGAAAAATAAAGTACATTATATTCATAACAGAAGTCTAACTTCTCAGCTCTTTTTTTCATTCCAAACATTGAAACATTGTTCTCAAAATCTAGTAGATCATGCATAAAATGGTCATGCCTCTCACTTTAGGGAAAAAACAGGTCAAAGAGGTGATGAAACATGAATGCCCTCTATTTTCTGCCTTTTCCCGCCCTAAACTGGAAACATACTATGACTGTGCCCTTTCTCTCTGACTTCTCTTTCATTCAGAGGATGAACTGAAATCTCTCCAAGGGAAGTTTATCCTCCCATGCTCTTGTTCCCATTCCATCCCCTATAAATTGGGACCCTTTTCATCAACTATTACTCTCTTCAGAGTTTTCAGGTTCTTCAGCAATTTTTGGCCCTCATTCCATGAACATTATCAAGTCTTTTGAACAAATAAACACACATCCTTCTCAACACCTAAGGTCTTTTTTCAGCTATCATATACCCTGCTGTTTCCCTTCATTGCAGTCTCTACTTCCTTGATCTCCCCCAAGTTTCATTATTCTAATGAAATGGTTCTGGCAAATGTCAAGATTTCAAAGGGATATTTTTCAATTTTTATTTACTTGATCATTCTGCAATGTAAACACTGCTGACTACATACTCTTTTTTTGAAGTTGTTTCTTCTATAACTCCTATTTACTGTATTGGAAATACACTCTCCTCCTGTGTGCTTACTTTTATAATGGTGCAACAAAGGCATGGTTCCTGCCTCGCACACAAGGAGTTATATGGCAGGGAGAAACATGTACACACAAATAAATACATAGTCACAAATTGATGCCCACTATGGAGAAATCACAAAACTGATCCTCCTGGTTCCCTCCCTAAGCCTTGAGGAACCGTTTTTAAATTTCTTAGCTGATTTCCCTGCTTCCAATGACTCTTTAAATACAGGCGTCCCATAGGTTTTTTTTCTTTATTTTTTCCTGTGCTTCAATTACCATTCATGAATCATAGCTCTCAAATACTTATGTTCTAGGCACTACCCCAGGACCTGGGAATTGATCAGTGAACAAGTCAGACAAGCTCTCTGCTCTTGTGGAGCTCACATTTTAGATATCCTTGACTACTTATCCTTCCACCCCAGCACTGACCCCTAGCCTACAGATCTGAGCATGCAGCCACCCACTAGAAATCTTTATGTATATGTTCCTCATTACTTCAAAAAAAAGTAAACAATGAAGTTGAGCCTATTTTTTCTCTAAATCTGTTCTTGCTCCTGTCTATCCTATCCACATTCATCCTTCTAGATATACAACCCCAAAACTAGGAGCCCTGTTTAACACATTTCTCATACCCAACCATTGTCTCATCTCATGGACATGACTATCTGCTCTGCCCTGCCCACTGCCTCATGTCCATGCATCTCCTGGCATCCTAAAAGAACCCCTGAACACATCTCCCAATCATGCACCTGATGGTGAGACTAGTATGTCCTTTCCAAAAATAATCTAATCATGTCATTCTACTTTTAAACCAAACCAGTTACTCCAACTTTCAGAAAGAAAGTCTAATATCCAACTGTTCAGGTGAGAATCATTTATAACTGGACAGTCTATGATGTGCCAGACTCTGTCACTGTACAATCACTCTGCTCTTCCCACTGCTTAGTATTAATTTAATCTAAACTGCCTTATAACATAGGATTAGAAGCTCATATTTGTTTTCAAGAATGTGAACTTTTTTATATGATAGATATTGAAAATCATATAGAAATAACTCTTAATTGGAGTCCTGAACGAAGTGTTTATAGTCATGACCAAATGATTCCTTACCATAAAAAAAGTCAGTAAGACAAAAGAGCCTTCCTCTTCTACAAGTAATGAAATATATATGAGTAAAATATAGGAAATTACTTTCCTTGCATGAACTATAAAGTAAAATGGAAATAAAGGGAATTAATCTTGTTACGTTTGAATTGTTGAAGAGGAATTAGACTTACATTGGTTATGATTTTGCTCCAAATTAAAAATAAACTCACATTTCTCTATGTCAGGGATACACCAAAATGAGATTTATAAAATAATTTTTGACCTTGAAATCAGAGGAACAACTTTATATGTCTCAACTGACATTTAAAATATTCAAACAAACTTATTTTAAATATAAGGATCATCACATTATAAGCTGTTTCAAGAATAGACTAATCAATATTTCTCATTAGTGAATGTCCTTTCTGAGGATAATCTAGTTACTAAATAAGTATTTACCAAGTGATTACTATTTACCAGGCATAGATATGGGAAGTAGGGAAAAAAGAAGTGAACAACACAGATAAAATTCCTCTTGAAATAATTTCAAAGTTATAGTACAAAGAAAATAAAATAACGGGACAATGGCACCAAACACACTTGGCCAGCCTCAGAAGTCCTATGAGAATCTGCCTCATTTAAATTCCACAGTGAGTAGCTGATCATTACTGCCCAGGCAATGCTATTCAGAATGCTTCCGTGGCATTCGGACATCACCCCAATTGGGTCAATGTGTTAGGAAAGGATATTGTGATCTGAATATGCATCAAAGTCATTTAACATTTACTTTTTCAAAGAGTCTAAAATTCTCTAACATTACTATAGAAAGGTTTTGTTTTATTCAAAATGCCATCCTTATACCTTCATTTTTCCTTAGCATATCCACCACACAACTATTATGATTAGAAGCATTAGTTGCCAAAGAAGAATGTAAAATGGCATTAGGATCAGTTGATATCTTCAGATCTGGTTTATTCTTTACTGAAGTTCCTTTCACAGCTGATTGCTCAGTTTTTGCATTGTTCATTGTATCATTGATCTACAAGAAATAAAATAAACTTATTACAACAAGCAATAGTCTATTAAATAAAAACACATAAAAATTTTCAACTTAAACCTATAGGAAGTTTATCAAAATACAAAATATCTTACAATTATATTTTTAACTTGTATAGATTTATTAAGTTTTGCAATAGTTTAAGAAAACAATTTCTTTTCATTTAATCTCCACTCTCAAAAGGTCAATTAAGAGTAGAAAATGGAGTTATATTTTCAGGGACAAAAATCTACATTTTTAAAGTAGTAGTTAGTATTTATGTAGGAGAGGATACCAAAGTTACCAAATTCAGCATTCTGGTGCATTTTCTTAATGAAGTCAGATAAAAGAATTGATGACTCCTCTAAGTAAATCTCAGTTATATGAAACCTCAAAGCAAGCGAATTATTTTGTATGACGCAGTTTATCAAGACTTAATACACATACATTAATATTCATTAACATTTAACATTTTTGATAGGAATCTTCCTAATTACATTTTTCCTTGTCTACTTATATATACCATAATGAGCACATTTAAACTTTTTGATAATTTATGCCACCAGTGTGAACATTGCTTATTATAAAGCTGTATCTACAGGCTTTATTCAAATAACCCAACATTGCTGCCTCTTGTGGGTGACTGTTTTCTGTTACTTTTCTTTCTCTTCCTTTGCATCAACTACGACACTATCATGTGTAACTTCTCATGCATTAAAGGCACCTGCATATAACGTGCCCTGTCAATAGGTGACGCTGGTCACAGCCACTAGGGAGCACTGACAGGCACTTGCTGCCTAACACCTATCTGTACCTCATTCAAGCTTCACAGGAATCTATAACTGGATTGCCTCTTTGGCTCACTGATGAAGAAATGAAACTCAAAGTTCTTAAGCAATATATTCACAGTCAGGGAACCAGGGAATAGCTGAGCTAGAATTTGAATTGAGGTTTATTTAATTCCAAAGCCTCCATCTACAGTGTCTCTAAAGTGTTCTTGGCTTAAAAATAAGATATTCTAACTAAACTGTGTAAAATGAAACTAAATGAGCACTGAGATTTGGTTTAACAAAGATTAAACACGTGTTGAGACACTCCTCAAAAAAAACCAAACCAAGTGATCATCTCCCTCTCCCCTGTTTTGACTAATGCTAGAAAATATGCAGGAAGGTTGAAATGAGGATCTGGACTGTGCACAGTTCAGTGTCCCTCGGGGGAGGGCAGAAGAAGGGCCCATACTAAAAATGGAGAGTAAGCTAAAGTCTGCATATTGGGCAGACACCAGACCTCAATCCTGAAATTCCTGCAAGAGGCTCCCAGGATACTAACAGTCAAGCTGACAGCCATATGCAGGTGACTGGTGAATTCTCAGGGGAAACTCGCTGGTCTAAGGAAAAGCCCTGATAATCCTAGGTCCTTCCACACAGCCAGTTAAGGTCTTCTAGTCCACAAGTCTTGCCCTCTGTACAGGCTCTGCCTTAGTCTGAATGCTTGTCTTCCACACATCCTTTCACTGAAACCTAATCTTCAAGGTGATGGGTTTGGTAGGCAGGGCTTTGGGGAGAGAGTCAATGCTTTGTAAAAGTGCCCTAAGAGAAAGCTCCCTTGCCCCCTCTACCATGAGAAGTAGCCAGACTGCAGCCCTGAAGAACCTCAATCAGAACTTAACCATGGAGGGGCCCTGCTCTCAGACTTGTAGCCTCCAGAAATGTCAGAAATAAGTTTCCATGGTTTCTAAAGAACCTATTCTATGCTGCTGCTGTAACAACCCAAACAGATGAAGACACTCTCCACGTTCCTTTTTAATGCCTCACCTTAAAGGGCAATAAAGACATGACAGGGCCCTTCCTGGTGGTACAACAGGGTAAAGCACAGCATTATGAAGCTGTCCACAGCCACTGCAGCATGAATTTGATCCCACATGGCATGGCAGACCTCCCCTGACCCTACCCGCTGCTCTCCTCAGCAGTATGTTTCAGTACATCTGCCTGTTCTGCTCCCCCAATCTGTCTCTGGTGGATCCTTTCACCCCTTGCACCTCTGGCCTGTACCTCAGTTCTGTATGCATAAATAAATAAATAAATAAATAAATAAATAAATAAATAAATAAATAAATAAATAAAAGACATGACAGAACAGCCATGAAAGGACATCCAAGCATCACCAGACACCGGCTGACAGCCTTTAACATAAAGGACCAAGACCAAAACATTGAAGAAAAGAAAAGACATTGCAGAGGCAGAATAAAACTCCAAATTAAAAACAGGATTCTTGAAAGGGAAAGATCTATTTACAAAGTAAGAATAAGTTGCTACAGAGAAAATAGGAATAATTAAAGAAACCATTAGAAATGAAATATGTGGTTGAGTACATTTAGATACTGGATAAAAATTTATGCAAAAGAGCAATTCCTTCAGAAAGCAGAATAGACAGGAAGATACAAGATAGGAACCACCAAATAAAAGTAGGGGGTTAGTTCAGGAAGACCAAAAGAAAAAATAAAAGCAAAATGAATAGAAAGTAAAAGAAGAAATAGTAATGAGAGCCACGAGTTTTCAGAACGTGGGGTCCACCACCAAGTGCAGAGCACAGTGAATGAAGACAAATATTTTGAGGCACATCACTGTTGAAATTTCAGAATACTGTGGGTAAAAAGGAAAAAAAATAGTTCCCACATACCTGGATCAGGAATCCAGTTAGCAACACTGAAGGCTCGAAGACAGTAGGAAAATGCCTTCAAATTTCTGAGGGAAAAGATTCCAGTACAGAATTCTAGAACCCAACTAAACTACCAGCCAAATGTGAACAGACAACTGGCATTTTCAGATAAATGCATTTCAGATAAAGCGAACCAAAACAGTTTACCTTTTATAAACCATTTCTCAGGGAGCTCCCAAACAAAACAAGGGGAAATGATGGGCAAGAAGAAGAAATGACATCAAGAAACGTGAGCTCTAATGTAGGAAAAGAGAAGAAACTCCAAGCATCAGCAAATGGAAGTTCTATAACGTCAGCCTGCAGCAGGCCTAGAGAAGACCCAGCACAGACCAAAGCATGAGACAGAGGGATGGTTCCAACAGAGAGAAAAGACAAAAGGAAATGACTACTTTGAAAAGTGAAATTTCATCATTTTTGTTGGAAAATTTGAGTATTAATTAATGATCAGTAAGAAGAAAAATGAGCAAATGAAAAACAAAGCATTTAATAATGTCATGAAAAAGCTGGATGAAGAAAGAACACTCACAGCATACTAGGTACTTAGCATAAACATCAAATAACAACTTGACTAAAAATACTTAACCTGGTAATGCAACTGGTTAAGACAAAGCACTGCAAAGCTGGCCACAGCCACGTCAGTGCAAGTTCAATCTCCACCCCTGGAGGTGACCCACGTGGTGCGGCAGACCTCTCCTGACCTGCTACTCCCCTGAGCACTGTACTTCATCCATCTCCCTGTTCTGTTCCCCACTCTGTCTCTGGTAAATCCTCTTACCACCCCTGCACCTCTGGCCTGTATCCCAGTTCTCTAATGCATAAATAAATAAATCTTTAAAAAAAATAGTTAAAGGATGTTGGAAGGCAGATTGTGTGAAGTATTTTAAAATATCATCAAATCTTTATCTTCCATTATTAAAGACCACTGATCTAAAACTAGAATGTTATGAAATGACAGTATGTGAGCTTTATTTAAAGTAGAGAGATACCAGAAGAAAGCAAAAAAAAGTTGCAAGTAGTGGTTTCTGGGAAGAAAGAATCAAGTGCAGGAAGAGTCGGAGCAGGAGATCCTTGCCTTTCCTTAACCTTGTGGTACATTCCACATGTGTAAGAGACACACGTAAAAACACGCACTACATAATATATAGTCAACATTCAATATGTATGTATGTAACAGACACAGTCATGATCTGTATTTACAGAGGCTACTCAGAAACAGCTGTATGGGTTTTGCCTGCCACACACCATTCCTGCCTCTCCTGCTCATGACTGGGTCCTGAGCCATGCGCAGAATGTGTGACTACACCTATGTCACTTTCTCTGAAAAGAGTCTGTTGTGGACATAGACAGCAATTTGCCAGATAAAAACAGCGAGACTAAGTAAACTTATTCATCAGACTCCACACAGACCACTATGAAGCACTTTATAAATGAAAGTGCCTAATTTTAAAATCAAATACTTGGCAAACAAACACAATAAAGAAAAATATCTCAAGTGCATTTGTGAAGTACACCTTTAGATATTTAAAAAAAAGTGTGCACGATATTTAGGAATGTCAAAATGCAGATTTCAAAGCACTCTGAGTTCTGGTTATAAGTAGTCTGTGGCGTCATGCAAGGAGGCTAGAGAGCAGACTCTTGGCTCAGCGTCCTGTGTCAAGCTGCCACCACAGTGATCCATGGAGCTTTCTCTAGAACTGAGCTGCCTTGCCATCCTCAGGATTCTGTTTCACTAGATTTAAAGAAGGGCAATCAGTGGAATCAGTGTTTTCTATTCTCAGAGGTGCTTCTGATGCACTTACAGCACCGCAATGCAAGCCAGCCGCAGCCGCTTCAGGGCCGAGTTTGATCTCCACCCCCGGAGCTGACCTCTCCTGACCCGCCTGCTGCTCCCCTCAGCAGTGTATTTTGTCAATCTGCCTGCTCTGCTCCCCGCTCTATCTCTGGTGAATCCTCTCACCGCCCCTGCACCTCTGGCCTGCACCCCAGTTCTGCATGCATAAATAGATAAATCTTTTTTAAAAAAAATCCCTGCTCGGTGGTAATATGTTCCACATTAATAAAAACTGGGACTATAACCACAAATATTCATTTACCATTGCCAGTCATTTAACTTACACTGCTAGGAATGATGCTATTACTGCCTTGTCTGTGAGGGTCCATCCTGATTCCTGTAGGAATGAGAAAATTCAGACTGATATGCTCCAAATTAACTTCAATAAAATACACTACAATCAAGTGTTTGTTTACTTGCATATTTGAAGATTAAAAAGTAGGATTATTATTAAAGCTTATTTTCTTAATACTTTGCTTATGAGTTGACTCACATCCTTTCTGGAAGAACATGTAAAATTATTAAATTTGCTTTTACTTTCTAAGTGCCTGTTTAGTTAAAAGTACTTTTGAAAATGGCTGAAATATTTGTGAAAATGAATTTAAGCCATCTCCTGAGGCAAACGGCATGTCAAATTAAGAAAGTACATTAAAATAAATCACATGAAGAACATTTCATCCTACATGTCTATGTATTCTACATCACAATGGTAGGAGAGTGAAGTATCAGTTGAAACAAAACGTAGTTATCAAGACTAGACCATCACTTTATAAAACTTCTTAAACCAGGGCCTCCCTGGTGGTGCGGGGGTCAAAGACAGTGCTATCAAGTTATCTGCAGCCACTGACTGCAGCAGATCTCTCCTGTCTCCCCTGCTTGCTCCCCACTCTGGTGAATCCTGTCACCTCCCACACCTCCGGCCTACATTCCAGCTCTTGTATGCATAAATAATAAATCTTCAAAAAAATTTTTCTTAAACCAGGCCTAGTCACCAGCTTTTCTACAGTATACTTATTTTAAAATGTGTGAGCAAACAAGCTTTGATTACGAAAACTGTTTTACCTTGCACATTCGGTGCTGCTAAGGACTCCAATGATGCAGCTTGGTATGGCAAATCTGTATTCAATTGCAAAAGATAGCCCTCAACTGTAGGTACTTCATCCCACTTGACGTGGAAAGAGTTAGTAGTGGCTTTGATCAGCTGGACTTGTGATGGTGCCGGTGGTCTTTCTAAAGAACAATATTATATATTTAATTTGCAAAAGTTTCAATAGTTCATTTACATAAATAGTTTCTGTGAGCTAGAGTTTTGAAAACATCAGCAATGAACATTTCATGTGCTTACCAAAAGGGGCAAATTTTACTCAGGTAAACATAGCTACAATAGGCCAAATGCAAGTAGTTTTGGGTGCTGATTCAATTTATTTAATTGCTTATACAAATAAATCTACAACCAAAAATTTCAAGCTATTTGAGTCCTCAGATCCAGAAAAGATATTTACTCTTAGAGTTGGGGGAAAACACATATTTTATAGCTAATATTGTCTTCTTCATAAGTTTCTAAATGTTATAAGCCAATTTTAGCCAAGAGCATACATGTTAGAAATAATGTTAGCAAAGATGACTGGGAGCATATTTGGGGAAATATAAAGAATATTAATGATCCTTTTATCAAAATGTGTACGACCCAAAACAGGTTATTGCTTTGGTATAAAGTATTATCAACATTTCCGAACCAAGTAATGATCATATACTCTGGGCTAGAAAAAAAGTTCTGAGATTATTTCTATAATATCCTGTTCTTTTCTCTAGAGTCCTACTGTATCTAGGAACTCACAATTCTGGGACAGTTATGAAAGAAAAATTATTTTTCTAATGACTGAATACATATAAGCTACAATTTAATCCTTATAGAACAAGTCTAGTATCTAATATCTCTTTGTGGCTTTTAGAATCCTACTCTAAAATGATGGCTCACGAGTTAAACCCAGGTCACATCTGTTTTTGTAACAAAATGTTATCGAAAGACAGCCATATTTGTTTATGTATTGTGTGTGACTTATTTCATGCTATAACAACAGAACTGAGTAGCTGTAACAGAGACCGTGTGGCCTATAAAGCTTGAAATATTTATTCTCTGGGACTTTACAGAAAAAAATCAATGACCTTGTTTTAGAGGATAATCAAACCTAGTTTCTTCAACTACTCCCATGCAAATTCCTCCATGATCCCATTCACAATTCTGTTCTTCCATGTTTCTCAAAGTAAGGTAACTCACACCTGAACAAAAGCAGGCAATAAACAAGTCCAGGAGGTATACCACCCACACAATAGAAATTACTGGAGAGAACAGAAAAACAGAAAGGTACAAAGCATCAAAATCAGTCAAGAAAATTCCCAGAGCTGAAGAACTGTCTCCAGACTGAAAGTACCTTCTGAGACTCAGCACAAGGGAATTAAGTTGAGGTATTTTCGGGGCATCATCATGAAATTCAGAAAGAGTGGGACAAAAAAAAACCTAAAAGCTTGCAGGGGACCAAAAATTAGGAGTGATTTGGATTTCTCAATAAAAACATTAGACTTGGAATACAATAGAACAATGCTTTCAAAAATTTGAAAGATAATGACTTCCAACTCAGAATTCTATTTCCATGCACACTGACAATTAAAAGGGAAGGGAGACTGAATATATTTTCAAGCAATGTGAAGATCTCAAAATAAAGTTATCACCTATGCACCATTTTCCTGGGATGTACTCCACAAAAACTGAGGAAGTAAAACTAAGAAAGGAAAAAACATGGGATCCAGAATACAGGGAATCCGGCACAGGTGAGAGGCAAGAACTATCCCCCGGAAGGTCATGAAGGGAGACTCCAAGATGATGGCTGTGCTCGATTTGTGGAGGGCAACCATCCCAGATTGGTGCAGGAGAAATTTCTTCAAGATGATGAAATTTGATAGAATATCTGATGCATCTAACCACAATGAGAGAAGATTTAAACAAATAACAGAGAGTATGGATTGAATTTCTGGTAAATACTATAAATTTAAAACTAAAGTGACAATTACTAATCCGTGGCAAATAAAAAATTGTGTAAGGAAGATATTCATAGTACAGAGAGCATAGGCTTACCTGTGAATAGCGTTTATGTACTTTTATGTAAACACTGAATACCCCTAGCAAAATCACAACGTATCACATTGAGAGAATGGGGAAGGCAGGAAAGGTACACAGAGGAGACATAATGAATGGAGGGAGAGGAAGAAGCCTTCAACTTTCATGGTAGAAAGTGAGCATAACATGCTTTAACTGAAAAAAATCAAAGTAGCCATAAATTCATAGTACATGGAAGTAAGAACCAAAAGAATTAACAGAATGTAAAGTAGGTGCTTGTGAAGGAAGGAAAATGGTAGGAAGGCAGAGCCAAAGACCACTATTTTCATAAAAGGCCTTAATGAACTATATTACTCTTTCATATGTAAGCAAATGCACAAAACACTGCTAAAATGAAAAAAGCCAAGGTCCTGACTCTTGCCTTCTACCAAAAAAAAAATTTTTTTTTTGATGCCAACTTAGAGGAAGAAAAGCAAAATCCAGATTTTGGCCTCATGATGGTAGCCATAATATTTTCTTAATCATTCTTTTATTATATTCTTTGGTCACTTTTAGGCAGATATTCATGTCTATAGCCTATTATGCAGATTTATGGAAAAACTGGTCATTCAGAATCAATGCTTTTGAAAAACTTTTAAAAGAAACAGAAGCTTTTTAAAGTGGTAAGTTTACTACTGTGAAGAATTTATATGCACACATTTTGATTCCAATCTCAGGGATCAAAACTTATTATGTGTGGGCTTCAGGTAATGATTTCCAATTGCAAAGATAAATCTGTCCACTGGGTTTACCATATTTCTTTCCTTTCTTGATAAGTAGTATGTACTTCTTCCATATTTTACCTCTAACTTGTCCCATTTATTACTTCTTTCAATTATTTTAAAATTAACCTGCGTGGGGGCCTCCCTGGTAGCACTATCAAGCTATATCCAGGCACTGAGTTAGGTCCCCAGCCAGCCAGAGGTGACCAACATGACACAGCAGGCCTCTCTGGCCTCTCAGCGCTCCTCCCTCAGCAGTGTATCTGAGTAGACTTGCCTGTTCTGCTCCCCAGCTCTGTCTCTAGTGAATCCTCTCTGGCCTACACCCCATTTTTTGTATGTATAAATAAATAAAATCTTTTTAAAAATAAAATTGAGTTGTTTTTATAATTCAAAAAGCAATACATGTTACTGCTGAAAATACAGATATGAGAGAAATACCTTTAAAAATCTTACATCTTGGCTAATGTTTTGATATACATTGTCTTCTAGATTTTCCTATGAATACACTTTAAAAGTTTGATATTATAGGCATGTTTGATAACCTGATTTTCTCATATAGTAACTTATATGGTCTCTCCAAATCTGACTTCCCTATTGGCCTCTAGACTTCTTTTCTCATTCAACAATCTACTTGAGTGGGGATATGGATTTTGTGGAAAGAGAAGAAGGAGGTGAAGTAGCTTATCACGTATACTGCGTGTGGAGGGGAGGAATAACATCAATATGCCATTACTAGTAATATTAACCTTGAGTACTTGATTACAGTGGTGTCTGCTAACTTTTAGCACTGTAAAAGCTACTACGTTTTCCTATGTACTGTTCTTTAACAGGAGTTATTAATCCAGTAGACTTAAGGAGTGAATAGACACCCCAAAATATAGATTATCTACATTTATTATTTCTTCCATTCATTTTTAATTATGGGGAAGAGAGGATTAACATTATTTAACTACCTATTACCTAGAGGAGAAATTTTATTTGTTAAATACTCTTACCTACCAGTATCAAGATACCAAAGATCCTTGCAGCAAACTTGACTATTTAGTGCTTTTTTGTAGCCATCTCTTCCACTCCAAAAATATAATCGAGTGCCAATTGCAACAGCACAATGTCCAGCTCGTGGTCTTGGTCTTGAATTTTTTTTATCTTCCTGAGAGTCTGATACTAGGGTGATCCACTCTGCTGTATCTAAAAAGATAGAAATGTCCGTGACTAATCTTTTGTTCTTGAATTAGATGACAAAAATTCTTTTATTAATAAAATTGATTTCAATAAATTGCCTTTAAAACTTACCCAGATTTAGGTAAGAAAAGGAACTGGTACATCTCCACTCAGAATCATGAGGTGCAGTTTCAATATTCTCCCCCTTATGTGGAACCCATCCACCAAAAATGTACATCCTGAAGAACAAATGAGAACAGAAAGTAACTGATTTCCCTCATAAGTCTTTAATTTTTATGCTTTAGATTTAACATGCTAAGGACAAACTTAAATTTCTTATTTGTTGACTCAGAGTTTCAGGACTCTTCACTTACTATCATTATGTCATGGGAATAAGACAACGATCAATAAAGTGGGCTTGTTTCAAGAATTCAGTTTTATGAAGCAAGACTGGATCAAAACTATCTCTGGCAAGTTAAGCAGGAAATATTTCAATTAGAATACATTTGAAAATCATTATTATATGTCGTATACTAAGGGTGACTCAATCAAAAGATACTCAGCTATCTGTGCCAGTCAAAGTTAAGTGTTGAATTGTATGCATATACTAACCAAAGAATGTTAAGTTTATATAATTTTGGTCACTGATATCACTCAAAGAAAAAACTTCACACGATGTGTCTTCAGGCCCCTAGGTTTCTTGAGACATGCCTGATGATTGCTGAAGAGGAAAGTCCCACCAGGTAGAGGAAAGGACCTACGTGACCTCATGTTAACCAGAGTAGCTCTATTTTTTAGGTTAGGGTTCCAAGGGGAAACTACCAGTTAAAAAAGTTCTGCTTTTAAAAAAAAATTAACTTAGCAGGTTTTAAGGTTCTTTTATAAAGGAACCTGAAAAGGTCTACATTCTAACTAGTTGCTTCCTAAAATATTACTTTCAATTTACCCCTTCACAAGTAGATACTTAAACTATTTAAACAATACTTACAACCCTGGCCCACTGCTGCACAATAAGGGGATCTGTCAGTGACAGTGGCTGTTAAGCAATGTGTCCTATGTACCGGGCACTGTTGTAAACAGTAAGTAGTTATGAATCCATTTAAACTTCATGAAACTTTGTGCAGCGGGTTTTGCTATTATCCCCATTTTATACTTGAGGAAACTGAAGTAGAGACAGATTACATTTCTATGTCCCGCATACTACAGGTCAAGTATCAAAGCTGAGACCTGCACTCAGGCAATCTGGTTATGATGTGCGCATAACGCCATCCGAGTGTAATCATTAAGAGAGTACATACCTGACTACAAGGCATACTACTGAAAATATGCAAAAAAAAAAAAAAAAAAGAAACAGTGAGTCAGGTGGGTCAATCCTGTTGTTAATGAAGGGACCAGCAGTCTGACCCACTCTGCTTAGTTATGGGATACCTCATCTGTACAAAGGCTCTATGTGGGGTGTAAGAAGCATAGAATATGGTAATCAAATGGCACCCTAGGTAGTTTAGGCATGTTATTTTAGCTTTAATAAAGACAATCAAGTGTGACAAATTCAGTAAACTGTTTCCAAAGAACTAGTAGTATCACTCTTCTTTACATGTACCTTTCTTAAGTTGGTTAAAATAAAAGTAAAAAACAAAGAAAAAAGCGACCGTACTTGTTTCCTATAACACTGGCTGTGTGAAGGCTTCGTGGAAGTGGTACCGTCCCTTTAGTTTCTGGTTTCGACCAGGACATAGTTTCTAATAATAAAAATAAATACATTAATAACTTGATCTAATAATAGCAAATTACCTCAACTTGCAGAATTTTTGAAAATAAAAAAGGAATTATCAAAATGAATCAAATGTCTTTCAAAACCATTCATTTCATCTTAAGATAAACAAACACTGCCACTCATGACATTTGTTTACACTTGAATGGTAGATTTTTTTTTTAAGATTTTATTTATTTGTGCATACAGAACTGGCCAGAGGCTCAGGGGCGGCGAGAGGCTTCACCAGAGACAGAGTGGGGAGCAGAACAGGCAGATCTACTAAGGACACTGCTGAGGGGAGCAGCGGGCAGGTCAGGAGAGGTCTGCCATGCCATGTGGTCACCTCCGGGGCAGGCGGGGATCGAACTCATGCTGAAGTGGCTTTAGCTTCTTAGTGCAGTGCTTTAACCCACTGCACCATCAGGGAGGGCCCGAATGGTAGATTTTTTTTTTAATGGAGATGTGTTTTTAGGAGGCCATCACTTTTGAATTAAGACCAGATTAGGGATTTTAACATTCTAAGTAAGAGCACATTGCGGAGAAGGTCATCAAAGGTACGAGGCACACCCACCCAGCATCTATTCATTTCTAGGCTCTCTTTAAAAAGAACTAACCAAGGTTTTTTCATTGACAGTAATAATAAGTACAATGTTACATCTCCTGTGGATTAATTTATGGCATAAATTTGGTCATCCCTAATTGGGACACTTTTCAGAGAGAAAGAGAACACTACCCATAAATAACCCAGGCCAACACTCACAAACTCAGACAATCCAGGCAAATGAGAGAGTTACTGTCATAACTCAAACATTCAAGTGTTCAACCTGCTTAATCAGCAACAACTTACATCTTACCTTGGCTGCCCACAGGCTGGCCATAAGCGCTAGTTATGAATATAATCAAAAATAATTTCCAAGACAATGTTAAATTTGCATTTATCACTAATAACCAATCCCTGAGCCTGGATAAAGTTAAGCTTACCTAAGTCAAGCTGCCATAGATCATCTAGGCGAGCACCACACATTCCACCAAAAACATACATTTTAGGACTTCCAGAGTCTTTTTTGCAATATATAACAGCTGTGTGGGATTCTCTTGGAGAAGGCACAATCCCTTTAGTCACTGGAATGCTCCAACCCACAACACCAGAACCATGCTGTAGCTCCAACTCATAGAAATCATTTAAATATCTAAGAGGGCATGAAAGAAATTAAAACAAAACAATCACTATTGACAGTACTTGATAAATACCCTTTAGCCTGCTCTCTGGCTATGCACAGATGTATAAATGAAGCATTCTGTAACTATTGCTTTCCAAGTTTTTTTCCTATTAAAACCATCACTCTATAAAGTCAAAGCATTGTCCTACATAGCTTTTTGACTCCAGAAACTGGCATTAGATGCCTCACTATATAATTATTTGTCTATGGCATGGATGTTTTCAATGACTTAAGCAAAATAACTTTTTGTTTTTTTGCAAAATAACTTTTGTAAGAATCTATTTCCTATCAAATTATTACTCAAGTATGAGGAAAATATTAAAACAATTTAGGACATATAAAACTTCAAAGTTAGCCTTATAACTGCTTTGGGAAAAAAACAACTATAGATGCTATCCAGGAAAAATAAAAAGAAATCCAAGAAAGACTATATTAAGAAAGTAAAATGGTAGTACAACAAGTAAGTTATAACTACATTAAAACTAATGTTGATAAACATGGTTGTGAGGTCTAATCATCACTAGAAACGTGAAGGTCCTATTACTAAGAAAGATTTAGCAAAAACATATTTTCTTGGCATTACTGCAATTCAGAATAAGATTCAAGAACTGAAAAATGGGAGTCAGCAAAAGGCGGCTAAGGTAAAGACAGCTACCTCTTCCCAAAGATGACAAGATATTTGCAGTTTAAATGTACATGTTAATTTCAGAACAGCTCAAGGAAGCAAAGAATTAGCATGTTGCTTAAAATATTTCTTTTTTTTATTAAAATATTTCTATTGAAATATTGCATCACTGATTTAAAACATTATATAGGTTTCTGTATAGTCAACAGCTGTACATAATTACCACACAACTGATCCCAATTTAGTGATGGGTTCTCCTATCTTCTCTTTTTCACTCTGGTAACAAGCATTTTGTTCTTATAGTCTAAGTCTGTTTTTACTTTGTTTGTTTATCTTCCACATGTGTGAAATCATACAGTGTTTGTGTCTCTCTGTCTGACTTATTTCACTTACCATAATATCTTCTAAGTCCATCCATGCTGCAAATGGCACACTATGGAAAGAAGTGTGCCAGTGCTTCAAAACACAAAAGTGGATTTATCATATAACCCAGTAATTCCACTCCTAGGAATCTACCAAAAGCACACAAAATACACTAATTTGAAAACAAATCTACGATGTTTACTGTACCACTATTTACAATAGCCAAGATATGGACCCAATCTGTCACCAAACAGATGAATGGATCAAGAATATGGTATCTATACACAATAGAATACTACTCAGCAACATGGATGGAGCTGGAAGGGATTATATAAGTGAAATAAGTCAGAAGGAAAAAGATAAATATTGGATGGTTTCACTTATATGTAGAATATAGAGAAACCAAACAAAGGGTCAGATAAAGTCAAAACTTTGCAAGCTGATCCTGGCATAAGACTAGACATAAAGACCAATGGAAAAGGAATCAGAGTCAAGAAATAAGTCCTTATATTTGTAGCCAACTGAATCTCAGAAGATGCCAGCTAACATGGCATCTTTTACACAAAAGGGTTGGGACAACTGGATTTCCACATGTAGAAAACTGAATCTAGATTCCCTACATCAACCCAACTACAAAAATGAACTCAAAACACATCACAGATACTAAATGTAATAAGAGCTATGCTATAAACCTTTTACAAGAAAATAGAGGAACAACTTCGGAATCTTGACATAGGCAAAGAGTTCTTAAGTATGACACACTAAAGTATGACCCATAAAGGAATTAGACTTATCAAAATTTTAAACTTTGTACTTCTGAAGATACCATTAAGGAAATGAAGAGCCAAGCTACAAACTAGAATATTTGCAAATCACATTTCTGTTTAAAAAATAAACTTCAATCTATTCCATATAAATGAATTCTCATAATTCAGTAAGATTAAATACAACTTAAACTTTAAAATGGACAAATGTTTGATATAGAAATTTCACCAAAGAAGATACAGAAGTGATAACTAAAAACACACAAAATGATGTGTGCTCAACATTACTGGTCATTAGTGAAATGCAAACTAAAACCATAATGAGATATTACCTGATACCCACTAGGTTGGCAAAAATAAAAAAGACAGGCTATAACAAATGCTAGCAAGGATGTGGGGGAAAATAACTGCTATAGATTGCTGGTGGGAATGTTAAATGGTGCAGTCACTTTGGAAAACACTTTGGTAGTTCTTAAGTAGTTAAACATAAATGTACCATATGACCTAGCACTTCCATCACTAAGTATATAATCAAAGGAAATAAATACATGTCCAAATAAAGATTTGTACACAGATGTTCACAGAAGCATTATTCATAAAAAACAAACATTAGAAAAAATCCAATGTCTATGAACTCAGGAACACATAAGCATAATATGGTGTATCCACACAACAGAGCACTACTGTACAAAAAGAAGAAATATCTGATACATGCTACAACAAGGATGAAACTCAAAAGCACACTAACTGAAAGAAGACACATTTATATAAGAAAAATAACACTTATAAAAAATGTCTCAAAAAGGCTAATCGATGGAAATGGAAAATAGATCAGTGACTCTGGATTTTAGGATGGGAATGGATATTGAAAAGAAAATTATAAGAAGTTTCTTATGATAGAAAATGTTCTGTGAGGAAGCATTTTGTATACTTCCTAACTTCCTAAATTTTTATAAGTCTAAAAATATCTGTTTAGTGAGAAAATAAAAAAGATGGGCTAAAAGTATCTGCATTAAGTGTTGGGGGGTAAACATTTTCCTTTTTTCCAGTTTCCAAAGCTTCCATGATGTTTTAGTATATTTACATGATGTTATTTTTTAAAGTTTGGGGAAGAAATTCAACACTTTAACATCAATCTAATGTAGATTTTAAAAGGACACATAATCATCGTGATAACAATTACTGTGTTATATGCTGAAGGTAGTATGAAAGTCCTCTGAAAATTATATCCATGATCTTATTCTAGTCATCACGATGACACCGTAAATTTAATCACTTCCATTTCATTGTGAAGGAAAACAGGCTTATATTACTTCCTCCAGTAGTCACATATGATAAACAATGAATCAGAAAACAGCCTTTGACTCTGTATCTCCAATTCCTGAGTGTTATAATGAGAATATGACCAAAACACCGTGTAAAAGAAAAGAGTATCAGCAATTAATTCTGTTAGGAACGTGGAGAGGCATATTGGCTCCAAAAGTCTTTGCTAGTGTGAGCTACTCTAACAGCTTCCTGCATGAAAAGTGGGAAAGAGGACCTTCATTTTATAGTAAAATTTTGTTAACCAGATTCCCAGAGAAATCTAACCTTAAAAAAAGCATGTATAACTTTGCATTATTATTTATGTCTAACTAAAATACATTATGGCTCAATATGTACAAATATATTTCTAAAGGCAATTATATTAATATCAATTTAATAATGTAATTCGATGTGATATGAAATAAAGCTATTTCAAAACAAATAGACTCCAGGAACTAAGGAAACACAAATGCACACAAATTTGTTCACTGCTATGTTTAAATGCACAAACAAAAAAAGGGCCAAGCTTCATCCTTTTTAATAAAAGTGGAAAAAACTAAATGGTCTTGGTCTTAAATAAATCATAAAATAAGCAGTTGGTCTGCAAAGGAGTCAGCATACCTGGGGACATTATTGTTTGAATCTTCACTTTCATTTGCCAGGCCACCAAACAAATAGCACTTGTTACCATATAATGAGAAGCTATGTCCAAGCCTAGGACAAGGAGGTAAACCAGAAGAGGGGGGGTGGGGCTTCACTTTTTTCCATAACCAACGACTTGCCTAAAAAAGAGCATAAATATAGTCAGACAAAAACCAGGAAGCATTCCAAATGGTCGACAGAGTAACATCAAACCAATACATTTTAATCAGAAGTCCCTTCTGGGGTGAATGATAAGTGACTTTTGAGACAAATGACAAGCAGATAACTTATAAAATTAAAATAAATATTCTAATAGAAACTCTTTCTAGTCTCCCAAATTGGGATTTAAAGAACAGTAAACTAAATTTATAATAACAGACATCAACAGTTCTTAAGTATTTTCCAAATGAAAAAAATAAGTTATATACTGTTAAGAGTGAATGTAATTTATGCATTCTAACTTCTATGAATTACCTTAAGTGATCCATGACTGATATTTACTTCACTTTTATATACATATAAAAGTCGCTTAATAAACCAAGACTTAAAACTTATTCCTCTGCCCATGGATGCTTTCTTTATCTAAACTTTTTTTGTTAAAGTGAGTTGCTTGTAAATAGGTAAAATCTACTCACATCTATCAATTACCAGATGTCCTTATGATCACGGCCCTGGGAACATATGTCAGTTCAGAAAGAAAGTCAACAAAGACAGTCACAGAGGGCTCTGAATCTGGCTTAGTAGAGAGTCAGATTTAGAAGGGAAAAATGAAATCAATGCCCCTCTTTTGTGTATTCCTAGAGACTAAGGCAGAAATTTTCAAAGTATGGCTTGAGGACCAAGAACAGCAGGTGGGAAGCCCCACAGACAACACAGATTTAGAAACTTCTAGCTGTAAGAAACTAAGCCCACCCATACAACATGTGCAACTGAGACTAAGTAACAATGCTACTTAATGTTACAAATGTTATACTAGGTATTCTAAAAGACATTAGAAATGAAAGCTTTCAGGTGAAAGCTTTCCGGTGAAGTGGCAACATTTTTTTTTTTAAGCTATAAAATGTGAAACTCAAATATTTTAAGTACACTAATGAAATACTTTGCAATCTTTAAAAGGATTATGAACAATACATTATTAAAGTTTCAGTCTGGGATAATAAATGTGAACTATACTTACTTGTAACTCATATAACTCATTGCTGTATCTTCCATATTCAACCATTCCCCCAAATACTAATATTCTGGTACCATCACAGACAAATCCATGAGCAGCACAGCCTGGAGGGATGTCTCCTCTAACAGCTGGTAGGAACCACTGATTTGTAACTAGTTGCCAAAATAAAATTAAACCAATTATAATAAAGTTATTGCAAACGATGAGTGTGTACTTTATCTGTACCACCTATACTGGGGGTTCTCAACCCAGGATGATTTTGCCCCACAGGGCAAAATAAACATTTTTTGGTTGTTATAATTGGAAAGGGACGGATGCTACAGGCATTTGGTGGATAGAAGCCAGGGATGCTCTTCATCAACTTACAATGTACAATGCAGCCTCTACCATAAAGAATTGGCTGGCTCAAAGTGTCAATAGTTTTGCTGTTGAAAGCCACTGACCTGTATCATCTAAATCTTACAAACTCCCTGCTTGAATATTATCATCTCCACTTTATAAATTAAAGCTCTCACACTAGAAAGGTTTAGCAACTTTCACACCACGGTGGGCGGCGGGGGAAGGGGGGGAGGCAGAACAAAATTCAAACCAGGTCTCACTCACTTCACAGGGCTCTTACACTCCACCAAAGTGTCAAATAACTTAAAAGCTAGGTGGTAGGAAAAGGGGAGAGAAAAGTTATGGGCCCTGACAAACTCAAAATTCGGCAATCAGCGTTACATCAAGGAAACAGCTTTCTCCTAAGAGTCGGTGCATTTACACACCACACGAGCAAATCAAAGGCAGCGCCTTCCCCGGTCAGGGGCACTTTTAATTTGCAGCGGCGCTCGAGCTGACAGTTTTTCCGAGCGTTCACCGCCGAGCGCCAGCACACACACCCAACTATGCAGAGACAGACGCCGGTCTCACCCCACGAACCACTTCCCCGCCACTTACGAAGCCTACCAATGGGGTACATCTTAACTGCCACCTGCCAGACACGGGGCCGCATATGGGGTGAAAGTACCAGAAGGCCTCTCGTTTTCCCTCCTCCACCCCCTAGATTCTTTTCCTACGGAGAAGAAAGGAAGGCAAAGTCTGCAAAGGCCCAGCGAGCTTTGGCTGGGAGTTGGTTTTGGTCTCTGACAGTGGAGCGCTCTGGGGGCCCGGGAGTGAGCGAGACTGCGGGAGGAGGCCCAGGCGACTGGAAACAGTCCCTCGCCCACGTCCGCCCGCAGGACCGCGGGGGAGGGACGGTCCGGGACCGCCTGCCCGCGGCCGGCGCGCACGGCTCGGGGTCCGGTTCCGCTCC